GACGTTCAAACCTTGGGGGTTCTGAGCACTGCCAACCAGTGGCATTTATCTTCTCAGAGCGCAGAGCATCTGGCCATTTGCTTTCAGCCCAGCAGTGCCTCAGCAGATTTCCCCATCCTTTTTAACATCTTGTCTCTAAGCCCATTGGAGGCCACTGCAGGGGAAGGAGACCCTGGTTCAAGGTTCATCCCTCCAGGCCAGAGGTTAGAGGTAATCTCCAGGGCTGGGTAAGACTGAAGTGGTACCGCTCACACCTCAGCCACTCACCTTCGGCTGCTTCCTTTTGTTTAGACTCCACTGACTCCTTTCCAGAGCAGCTAGCGATACCCCTCTCTCCCATGCTCTGCCAGCAGTCCTACATAAAGCATGATCCTTGCATCACCTGCATTGATGTCCCTGGGAGGTACCACCTTCATTGTTTGAGTACCACTGCTCTGGAAGACGGATTTGACTATTAGAGGTACCCTCCGCCTGAAAGAACATTCTGAAGGCCCTGTCAGCTTCCTCACCTGTTATCCTCCCACCAACCCAAGACCCCACAGAGTACTCTGAGAGTACCCTGTGCCTTTGCCATCCATCTGCTCTTTCTTTTCCCCATCTCACTCATCATCCTTTTAAATTCAGTTGAAATAGTGTTTCCTCTGTGAAAATGTCTCTAACCCCATCCCTTCCAGGGTCCTTGCTAAGAGCCTTATTTTGCTGTTATCATTTAATAATTAAAACCATCCTGGGAAGTGGGTTAATTTTAGAAATGGGAAAATCAGTACTCAGAAAGTTACACATTTTGCTTAAAGTCACACAGACTAGTAAGGATCAGAGCCAAGATTTGAACCAGATTGCTTTGATTCCAAAGCCTGAGCCCTTCTATATAAACCACAAGGCCCACACATTTTGCAAAAACTCTCCTGTCAGGGGCTGGGGATTTAGCTCAGTGGTTCCACTGCCTGCCTTGCAAGTGCAAGGTCCCAAGTTTGACCCCTGGTACCAAAAAAAAAAAAAAAACAACTCTCCTGTCAGGGATGTGGCCTTTGCTCCCTCGTGACACTGCTGTTACAGGAAGATAGGTGGAACCTGCCTGGATTTCCCATCCAAGGTCAGACTCAACCCTCAGTCAAGCAAACCTTTTTCCCTCTGGGGTCACTGTTGGGCCTGGGCAGTGATTTCTATCCTCCACAACTGCCCATGGCTGTCTCTGCCACTTTTCTTGTGTGAGCCCCTTTTGTGGCAGTTAACAGTCTTAAGTTTTTCATAAGTTAGATTTCTCCACTTCTCCGCTTTCATCTTCCACCCCATCTCTCAGCTTACCTTTTCTAGAAATCTTGATGTGCTAGAGGGGGACAGGAAACATAAATCAAATAGAGAAGTAACTGGGGCACTATTCAAAACGTCTGAAGGATTCTTGGAGCAGAAACCAACTGCAGATGCTTGTAAGTCTACTGAGGGCCTCTTTCATCATAGTAAGAATGTCAGCTTGATGGAAAAAAGGTAGGCAGATTTGTGAGGCTTTGTGGGTAGGGAAAACCTGTAGCTGGTGAGACACTGAAGCTTCCTGGCATTTTTGCAGGTTGCCCTTTAGACCTGGACCTGACTCCCTGGGTTCTCACCCCTTTCCCCAGGTGGCACTCCTCTCAATGTGGATCCTGAAGCCTACTCCTGGTTCCAGTCTGTGGACTCTGATCGCAGTGGCTACATCTCCATCAAGGAACTGAAGCAGGCTCTGGTCAACTCCAACTGGTCCTCATTCAATGACGAGACATGCCTCATGATGATAAGTGAGTCCTGGCCCTTCTCTGTGGGCTTGAGCTGGGGCAGGGCCACCTGACAGTTGATAATAGATGGGCAGGCATCCACTCTGAGGACAACTCCTTTGGCCAAAAAGGAATCTGGGTTCAAAGAGAGAATCTCTGGACTGAGAGCTCTTTCCCTTGAATCTTCCTTAAGTTCTAGTCCACTGAGTTATATATAGATTGACTCAGTTTCTCATTCTGCATATAGGAATTCCCTCCCCTGGTAGTAAACAGCAAGGGTTGGGGTCTGCATGGATCCAGGTCTTGGGATTCAGCCACCACACCAGCAGAGAAAAGCACTCTGGTTTGGGTGGAACTAAGGGTGGCTGGTGTGGGGGCTGGTGCTGCATTTGGTGCTGGTATCTTAGGCACAGGCATCTGGGCCTCAGGTCTGTGGTTCTGTGGAGTCTCCCAAGCCAGCCTGGGGAGAAGGGCTCCTTCAGTGGTGTGCTTGGTCCTCAGTCTTGAAGCCTTCCTCTCCTCCTCCTTGCTAACCCTCAGACATGTTTGACAAGACCAAGTCAGGCCACATTGATGTCTACGGTTTCTCAGCCCTATGGAAATTCATCCAGCAGTGGAAGAACCTCTTCCAGCAGTATGACCGGGACCACTCAGGCTCCATCAGCTACACGGAGCTGCAGCAAGGTGAGGGCATGGCAGGTGCATGGTGGGCAGGCCAGAGGTAGACTCTTTTACTCCCTAGGATGGAACAAAGGTTTTTCTCATTGCCAGATATCCACCTCTACCCCAAAATGTCCTCAATGTAGGCCCACTTACCCTACTGCTGTGACCTGGTTGGGGCACTAAATCAAGATCCAGAGCAAGAAGGGATTACTCCTAGAATGAGGGCTGGAGCCCCTGGTGGTAGGACACCAAGCCAGTCTAGCCATGCTGGGTGACATATCCCCAGGTGGCAGGGAGCCTAAGGGATGGAAACTTAGTGCCCTGGGGCACATGGAGACCAGTGTGTTTTGTGTGGTTGTTTCCTCACATTCCTAGCATGGAAGATGGAAAGAGCTCTGTGCAGGGGCTTAGAAAGATGGGCTTTATTGCTACCTCTGCCAGAGGCAGTTTCTTTCCCAGCCGTGGGACCCAGAGCACTCTAAAACTTGCAGTTGGCTAAGGTGACCTGAATGAAGCCACAGCTCCATCTCTGTTTCTAATCTGACTCTGTAAGGCCAGTAGGGAAAAGGACAGGTGGCTAATGGAACTGTGGGAACCCAACAAGAGAGTTTTGCCACCTAGGAGGGGGAAAGGGCTGCCAGAGTCCAACCCCCTGCCCTGGCTGTGGGTTTCAGTCAGACTAAGGGAGTCTGTGGTGGGCGTGAGTGCACAATATCTGCCTCTGGTAGAGAGGAGATGATCATTACTCTTGCCAACTTCTGCCATTGATGTGGGTAAGGGTGACACTAACAGCAGCAAAAATAGCATTTAGTGAATGCTTGCTATGCCTCAGGCATTGTAATAAGCATTTTAAAAAGATGTATAGAATTCATTCTTCCCATGCATTAGATCCTGTTTATTATTATTCCACACCCTTTGATGACAATCTCTTATGGTCTCATTTCTACAAATGAGAAAACCGAGGCTTAGTATACATAACTTGCCTAACGGCCCACAGAGCTAAAGGAGAGCTGAGATTTAATCCTGGGCTGGTAAGTTATGTGGAGAAGAAGACAGGAAGCAGCTCAGTGGGAGATGATAGTGCATACAGGCTGTGATCTTGGAACGGTCCAGCAGTCCCATGTAGGGAGATGATGATTTTATTAAAACAACACTTACTGAGTGCCAGGCACTGTGCTAAATACAGGACATAGTCATCCCCTTCAATTCTTACAGAACCCACTAGGTTAAGTATCAGGCCCGTTTTAGTGGTAATACGACAGAAGAATAGTGAGGCTAAGCAGCTTGCCCAGGCCATTTAAACCCTGTCCTGTGCCACCTTGGATGTCTGCCCTAGGCAAGGTGGTCCCAGGGAGCTTGGGCTTCCTTCTGTATGCAAATGAGCCAGAAATGATCACAGATAAACCACTGTCATCTCCAGGACCTCAGGAGCCCAGATTAAACAACAATAAGAGATGTTTGGAAAAAGAGAGAGGCCTTCCAGCAAAGGGAAGCAACCAGACAGGGTCCTGTTATGCTCCTGACATCTTGAATGGATCTCGGGACTTCAGTGTCTCTTCGTGCTTCTGTGCCAGTCCTCTCAAAGTGCCCTGATCTGCTGTGCTCCAGTGTTGCTGGTTGATGGAGGTGCTTATAGCAGGCTTTTGTCTGTTCTCTGTGCCCCTCTTCTCCAGCTCTGTCCCAAATGGGCTACAACCTGAGCCCTCAGTTCACCCAGCTCCTGGTCTCCCGCTACTGCCCTCGCTCTGCCAATCCTGCCATGCAGCTCGACCGCTTCATCCAGGTGTGCACCCAGCTTCAGTTGTTGACTGAAGCCTTTCGGGAGAAGGACGCCGCTGTACAGGGCAACATTCGGCTCAGCTTCGAGGACTTTGTCACCATGACAGCCTCTCGGATGCTATGACCCAACCTCCAAGGACCTCTCCTGGCTGTTTAGCGTGGGAGAAGCATGTGGGATTCTCTTTTTTTCCTGTCCCTTCTAGAAAGAGACTCTTGCTTGCTTGATGCAGCACAATTCCTAAGGGTTGGAAATCCTACACCAGAGCCACCAGATAGTGAGGCCCTGTGACCACACAGGTAAGAGCCTGACCTAAAATAATACTGGAAGTTGAATGTTCCGACAGTCCTGAATGGTTGGATGGCACAGCCTTGCACCAGGGGCAGCAGGTGCCAGTCATAGCAATGGAGTTATTGTCTGGCCAGCTTGCTCTGGCCTCCAGCTTTCCCCTCTGTACCCTGATGCTAGTAGTAAGCATTCATCAGCCTCTTAGCATTAGTGCCTGTCTTTCCTCACCCAGGCCATCTTATCAGATGAGCCCAGAGCTCAGTTTCTCTAAAATGGAATCTGTCTGAGAATAAGTGAGATTTCCCCATGGGACCAGTGGCTTGGATTTTCTCACACCCACCCACAAGTCCTTGTGTATAAACTTCTAGATGCCTGGGGCTGTCCCTGCTCAGGAAGTGTGGACGAATGCCCTCTGGGCATCTTTGGCCAGGCAGTTGTCCTCTGAAACTTGGATCCCTCACTTGCCTGCCATGCTTTGCTCAGCTTCAGTCTCTGGGGGGCCTTGTCACCCCTACTGCCAATGCTTTTTTTTTCTCTCCAGTTTTTTTTCACGTGGGGCCAAAAGTCCAGTGAAATTGTAAGCTTCAATAAAAAGATACCATTCTAACTCTGGAGTCCTTTGTTTTCCACCAGGACTTCCCAGCTATAGGTTCATACTCGTCCATTCATTCACTTATTTATTCTTTCATTCAGCAAATACTTAAACAATACTGTATACCAAGCCATACAGAAAGAAGCAGTGAGGGTGGGGGAGCATGCTGGGGCTGATGGGGGCTCCTTTCATTTGCCAGGGTGAAGCTCGGGTGGTGGGCCTCTTGCTTCATCCTGCCAGGTTCACTTCCAAGCGGCTGAGCATCAGCTCAAGAAGCTGACTGGGTTTCACAGAAGTTTTAGGCTGGAAGCAGCCACCCCCAACTTTTCACATCTTGGCCTTTTTACTTTCTCAGGCTTGAGTTTTATCTTCCAGACAAACTCCATTTATGAAGTCATAACTTTTCCCCCATTTTATTAAGCACAGACATCTGTACTTGCCAGTCGGATCTCTAGATCAGCATGATACCCAGTCTACATAGGAAGTTTGTAAGGAGATGACAAAATTTCAATCAAAAGCTGAAGATACCAGACATTCTAGTTTGCCAAGGGAGCCTTATCACTGGTAATGGTGTGATTATCCTTTGGCTTTTGGAGATGAAGATAAGAGGTTTGAGCCCTCTCCTCCCTGCAGTGCAGGGAGTAGCTACACCTGTTCAGCAAGCCTGTGAGGCCCAGCAGGCAAGTCAGGTTCGGCCAGTTCAGCTTCCTTCTCTACATTGCTGTGCCACTGGAATCCAGAATTAGATGGGATCTAGTTCCCTGAAGCCAGGATCCATCTATAGCTAATATTCCCCAGAGATTCGATACCCTGGGAGTCCAGCTTCTTGTGAAACTCCAATTACAAAGACTCAGGACCTTACAGGTAGCTCATTTCCTCTTTACGTGGTAGAAACTTCTTGATATGGATTCTAAATCACCTTGGAAACACTAGCCATTGGCTCTGGCTTTCTCTTTAGGGCCATATCACCCCTTCCTGCATGCTAGTCTTCTGGGTAGTGCAGCTTGCCACCACACACACGCACGCACGCACATGTGCCCTGTGAGGCTGGATAGCCCTGGGTTCTTCAGCTGCTCCTTACTGAGCACCTGGGTCCCCCACAGAGAAAGCATAAAACCCACCATGCTGCTGGGTCTAACTAGCAGACTGTAGGGCAGACCTGCAGCCATTAGAGGAAGCTCCTGTAGTCTGTTCCTGCTGAATGAGTGTCCACTGAAACCCATCTTTGTTTTTTAACTTTTTACCTGGTGCTGGGGATCAACCCCAGGCCTTGCACATGCAAATGCTTTACTGCTGAACTACACCTCCAGAGCTGAAACTCATCTTCAGAATGGTGTCATTCACTGTTTCTACATTTGTGTCGGCAGGGTGAGGAGCCCAAGACCTGGGTGGATCCTTGCAGGCACGGTTGGCTCTGGACTGGGGTCCTCATGCCTCATTCTGCACACCTCTCCTCTAGACCTGCCTATGAGTTTGCAAGCAGCTCTGGATCCCAAGGCCAGTGGGAGCACAAGAGAGCAGGACAGTCTGTCCCTCCTGGGAGCAGCTGCACTGTCCACAGTGAGCTGGGCTGTGTGGGTGACTCATGGAGAGCGGCAATATACAGCACACTGTCCACCCGCTCTGGGTAAAATGGGGTGCTCAAGACAAGCCATGCCTAGGCATGTCTCCACTCCACTTCTTGACAGCTGAGGTTGGGGGAGCCCGTGGCTCCATTAGTCAATTTAAGCAGACCTGGTGGTGTGCATGGCTGCACTGGCCCAGGCCAGCTGTCTCCTGCGCCTCCCAGCAGAGCAGCACTTCAGAATGCACTTGAATCCTGCTCTGCCAATGAGGATCAGGGCCTCTGACAGCCCTATAATCATCTTGGTGGCAGCTGGAGCATGTTTGGCCAGGTTTATAGCTTTCTCTCTTTATCCTGTGAGTTCATATAGAATAATTGAAGCCCCAATTTCCAAGAAGGTGAAGGAACAGTAAGTTTGTTAAACTCTGTCTCCCCATCATATCCCCTTACTTTCTAGAGGCTACTGGGCTGGGAGCCAGCAGTGTGTTGTGTCAAAGGTTGAGCTTCTGGGCATCAGAGGCTTGGCACCACTGTGTGCACTTTGAGGCCGGGCCAAGTCCATCTGGGCGGGGGGTAGGGGCGGTCTGCAGATAATAACATTCCAGTGCCTTCTCATCTTGCCTTCCCCCCAGCTGCCCCACCTTCCTCTCCTAACCTGAGCAGCACAGATTTTGTGTAATGACAAGGAAAGGGAACATTCAGTGCCAGGCTTTTAATTACAGTTGCTTTGGGCTGCTGGCCTCCATGCCGAATGACCGAGTGGAGAGTATTTTATCACATCACAAAGCCAACAGGGTCCAGACTATAGTGCGTTCACTCAGTACCTAGTGAGGATGGGCTGAGCTCATGGCCTCACTGAAGAAGGACTGGGCCCTGATTAATTCACACACGCATCACGGCAGCTGGCCGAGTGCAGCGCTGGGCTTTAGGGAGCCCCTGGTCCAGATGGAAATGCTGTGGGGACCTTTATAGCAGACTCCAGGGAAGTCCTATAATTGGGCAGGAGAGGGGTCTTTGGGAGAAAAGCCAAAGTCGGAAGATGATGAAGGCGGGCGGTACTGTCGGGTATGGCCAAGCGAGAAGTACAACAGTAACCGTATCCACAGCACTTCACAATTTACAAAGAGCTTTCCACTGTCTTGGGCATCCTTTAGCCTCCTCATATCAACCCCACTTAGAGAACACAAGCTCTTAGAGGAGAATGATTTGCTCGGAGTCACACAGGCAGAAAACCAGGACTGGAGCTTAAGCCTTTCACTGCATCCAGCAGCCTTTCCAGAGGTGGATCCCAGGGGCCGAAGGAGCAGCCCAGGCAGGAATCAGCTGCAGGTCCCAGAGCCCCCAGGCTGGCCCTCGCTCAGGACAGCACTGTGGTGACACTGGTGAGCACCACATGCTCCGAGACTTTGGAGACAGAGCACCGGCTCTGCAAGGACAGGGACTTGTGACTGGCAGAGGAGCGGGGCCCGGGGTCTTTCAGAGAACTGCAGGGACTCAGGCCAGGCAGGCAGCAGGAGAAGGCAGCCTTAAACTGCTCCCGGAATTTGCCTTGGTTGGGAGACAAAAGACAGCCATAAGGAAACAAATGCAACAGGAAGGGGCCTTGAGCCCAAGGGGCACCCACTCAGCTCAGGCCTACCTGCCTGTGAGGGGCTGGGAGGGAGGGTGGAGCTGGGATGGGGAGCCCCCGGGCAGCCTCAGCACTGCCAGGGAGAGTGAGACAGAGACCCGAGCCCATTCCCGAGCAAAAATGCAATTGTCATCTGATTCCTTGACTGCACTCTGGCTTAGAGCCTGGCTCAAGACGTGGTGTCTGGCCCAGGAGCCTCAGGTCACCTCTGTCCCCCTTGGTGTGTATGTGGAGAGAGTTCAGGGCTCATTCTGTTGCCAGGTTTCTCCCAGCTCTGGCCTGTGATGATGAAATGGCAACAGCAGCCCTTGTGTGTGGCAGTCACACTGTGCCAGGCACTGTACCAGGTACCTCAGCCTCTGTCCCCAGAGCACCCCTGAACCCTGAGAGGCTGTAGTGCTCTGTCCTCGCATCACAGCTGGAATACACAGAGATAGAGTGGCTTGCCCAAGCTCCCCAGCCAAAGCCCTTCTTGTAAAGGAGAAGACTGTGAGGGAGAAAGGACCACTGCACACCACCCTGTGCAGCCCAAGAATAAATACCAGGGGAACAGAGGTGCTTTTGGTACCAAACCTTCCCTGATCAGGCATCTCTGGTGCTCATCATGGGCCCAAGCACACAGTAGGTGCTCAGTGAATGCAGACCACACAAAGGCATGAGGAAGGCACCTGCCCTTTCCTCTCCTGGCCTCTAAGCTGGATTCCAGGGTAATTCTTGAGTTGTAGTGAGGATTTTACTATTGACCTCCAATCTCTTCAGGAACCTTTGAACTTTCTGAAAGTTTGTGTCCAGGCTTGCACAGCCATCTGCACCAGCTCCTTATCGGCCTAGTCCCCAGTCTGAGGTCTGCTGAGTCACTTCTGATTGACCAAGCCGGGGGTGGGGGGAGGCCATGACCAGACTGAGACTAGGAGGTAAAGGAGGGAAACGAAGGACCCCAGGAGGCTCACGGTGGCAGTGGGGGCCAAGAGGGTGGGACTTCCAGAGGGAAGAGCCAGAAGGCTGGTGCTGGAGGCAGATCCGGGGTAGCCCGCAAGATTCTGGCCACCCTGCCAGTGTGTCTGTCTAGGCAGGCAGAAGCCCTTTTGCTGCTATTGATGCTGTTTTACCTGACTACTGGATTATACAGTTATCTCCTCAGCCGGGGACTCCTGACCCCTTGTCCCCTGGGCTGGGCTCCCTCTGGGAAGGTAGACTGCTACACATGCCCCCACTGGCCCAGCCCCTGCCTGTCCACTTGCTCACTAGTGCAGACTGCCACTCCATCCTAGGTGCTGGCCACTGGCAGGAGTGTGGGCTCTCTGCCCCTCAGAGCAGGGGTCCTGAGTGGGGCAGAGTCTTTCCCAAGAGTGAGTGTTCTCAGAGCAGGGTCTCAATGCCCAGGAGAGAGCAGGTAAATCCTCCCCCACTGCCCTTGGTCTGGGCCCTGGACTGGGGATGAGGCCACTGGGCCTCGGTCACTCTTCCTGCTCAGCCCACTCACCACTAAGGAAGTTGTAGATAATGGGATTGGCAGCGCTGTTGGCGTACACCAGCCAGTGGGAGAAGGTGAAGCAGGCGTAGACAGCTTCTCGGTCACTGGCTTGGCGGAACATCCCGAACACCCTAGCACCAGGGAGGACAGTCAGGAATGAGGTATTAATGGGGATGGTGCTCACAGAGCTCTAGGGTTCCCACTGCCCACTTCTGCCTATTGCATGGCCCTTTCCTGGGCTCTGGGTCTGAGGTCTTGGCCACAGTTTGGGGTTCTCAACACAGAGTATGACCTAGGGACAGGGACCAAGATGTCTCCGCTTAGGCACCAGTTCCCCTGGGTCCCCATCCACCTTCTCATGCATCCTCACAGCAGCATGGTGAGTCATAGACATCATCTGCTTTTCAGCTAGGGAGACAGGCTCAAGAAGAAAGGTTACATACTCAAGGTCGCACACCCAGGACATGGCCATGAGAACCCAGACTGTCTCCCGTGCAGCAGTCCATCCACTTTCCCCAGCACCCCAGGGCCCCTCATCTGCTCTGCTCCTATGTCCCTCTGCCTAGACTGCTGTCTCTCCAGACCCCTTCAGGCCGATTTCCTCACTTCCTCCAAGTCTCGCTCAAGTGTCATTTCCTCAAAGACACTTTTAAAAAGACTATTATATCTAAAACAACAACAAAATCCCTGTCATTGTCACTGTCTATCCTCTTTCCCTATTTCATTTTCCTTCCTAGCAACTACAGCTACCTAGTAACACTTGTGGATTTTTCTATTTATTTTCTTTCTCTCACAATGGAGTGTAGCCTATGTCAAGGCAGCCACTTTGTCTGTCTTGTGCTCTTATTTACCCTAAAACTTGATGACAATAGTGCCTAAGAGCCAAGGACTATTGTTATTCCCACTCAGTGACTGAGGAGATGAGGCATAGAGCTCAGGAAAGAGAAGCAACTTACCCCGGGTCGCACAGTGCAGAAGTGGCGGTGCAAGAAGAGTTCCTTGGTTGGCTCCACAACTCTTCCCACTCCCACCCGCTCTCCCGAGCTCTCACCTCTTGAGGACATTGAGGACACTGATGGGCAGGTAGCAGAGGGCAAAGACCAGCAGCACCACCATCAGCATCTTGGCTGTCTTCCTCCGAGCTCGCATCTGCTTCACCTCGGCCAGAAAGGCACGGGCCCTGGGCTGGGGCTCTGCACTGGGGCCCTGTCCTTGCTCCTCCAGCTGGTCTGAGGGCCGCTTCCAGTTCCGTACCAGAGCTGAGGTGGTGCCTGGGATCTGTCCAGCAGACACAGACACGGCAGGGCTGGGTACAGCTCCTGGGAAGGCCATTCTCTTTGGCTTAGCCCACTCCAGGCTGGACCATAGGGCAGGGTGGAGGTGGGCAACACAATAAACCCTAGCCCTAGGACAAACCTGATGTTTATGATAAAGACAAGCTTTCTGGACTTGGTGAGTGATGTACCTTCATTCTCCATTATTAGCTCATGGTGAAACCACCCACAACATGCTTTTGGAGAGGTAGTATCAGCCCCTAGCTGTCATGAGACTCAGAGAGCTGGGGACCCTTGATAAGGCCCCAGGCCATTCCTCCTCCTTAAACCCCCAGCCCCATCTTTAGGGTAGGAGGAGTTATACCTCTCCCTGGCCCATGCCAGACTGTGGAGAAGGCTGGGCAAGGGACAGCAGGAGGGCAGCAGGGAATGGCCCTGGGCCTCAGAGAATGAGTCTCTGCATGGGTTGATGCCCACAAGCCTGGGATGGTTCTGGGCTCCTGGAGCAGACAAAGATCCTCAAAGCCTCCTGTCCCATCACCACCATGGGAACCTGAATCACCCCACAACAGTCAGGCATGGGGCTAGAGTGCAGGAAACAGAGGGTCTGGAGTCAACTCAGATAATCATGAGCTACATGAGCTTTCTAAGCCTGTCTGTCAGATGAGGAGGACAGTGTCTCTGCCCTACAGGACTGGGAGTCTGAGAGGACTGGGTAGACTACAAGGCAGCCCAGCCAGGAAAGGCCCATCCCTGGCATTGCCCCATGCCAGGGCCTGGATCTAATCTGTCCATCTCCCCATCCTGCATGGCCTGCACGTGGATAAGTACTGTGTGTAGAATGTCAGTGACATTCAAGCTGATCACACTCTGGCCTGTACATTCTCACTGCCCGGTGCTGACCCAGGTCTCACTCTGGCTTGTGCTGAGGCCTCTGAGCATCTCTCTCCCCATGAAACCCAGTGTGGGTCCACTTGTAGTGGAGGAAAGAAGTCAAGCCCTGCAACTGGCAGGCTCTGCCCTCACTGGCCTTGGCAAGAGGGTTGCCCTTGCTCAGCACTGTAACGGGGAAATACTGCCTCTTTTATTAGACAGTTGTAAGACACTGGATGCAAAGCCTAATTTAAAAAGCAACTCAGAGCTGCCATTATTGTTGTGGTGGTGCTACACCTAAGCATTGAAACCTCAAAGATCCAGATTTTAATCTCTGGCCTTTTACTCACTGGTTGAGTGATTTGGGGGACTTTACATTGCTTCTCGGGGACTCTGTTTCTTACACATTAAGTAGGGGATAAGATGTGGTAGCAAAGAGGCTGCAAGGTCAGCTATGGGCAAATGGTACAATAAATGGCAGCTACTGAACTAGAAGGATGTTGGTCACTCTGTACCCCAGGGAGGGGATTAGCACTTTGGGCCTTGAGACCCCCATGTCCCTAGGCCTGGCTTCCTCTGGCTGCAGCCAGCATGGCATGCTCTGAAGGCAGAGGACTATCTGCTCCCTTAGACTGTGGCCCTACCCCTCCCAGCCCAGCCAGTGCCATCAGAGTGGGGCTCACCTGGCGGCCCCAGAGCTTTCGGAAGATCTGGAAATAGGCCATGGCCATGAGCCCGAGTGGGGCCAAGTAGGTGAAGATGAAGAAGCAACTGTGGTAGATCTTGGGGTAGAGTTCATCTGTAGGAGCCGAGAGATGCAAGGGTCAGGCCCAATCTTGGTGCCCCATTCTGCCCTGGGGAGTAATGCCACCCTGTCCCAACCTGGGCCAAAGAAAGGTTGGGGGCAGCTCTATCTCATGTGGGCACCATGGCAAGGTCCATCCTAGAGGGACCCCCAGCAGCTAGGGGCACCCACCTTAGAAGTGCCCTGATAGATGCCCATCGTTACCTGCCCAGTGTTCGTCACAGACAGAGAAGAGCTGGGTGCGGTTGGCTAGCTCAGGCAGCACACTGCTACATTCCATGACAGCAGCCTGGGGCACCATGACAGCCAGTGACACGGCCCAGATGCCCAGGATGGAGCCCCGGGCTCGCCGGGCAGTGCTCTTGAACAGCAGTGGATGGCAGATGGCATACCAACGGTCCAGGGCGATGAAGCTGAGAGTCAGCACTGCCACCGACACCGACACAGCCTGCCTCGTGGGGATACAGCATCAGAGCCATGAGGGGCAGGTGTCTGGGGTTGGGGGGACAGCCCAGAGATACTGGGTGGGTGTAGGGCAAATCCTGACTCTGCCATCTACTTAGTCACCTGAGAGGTCACAAACCCTGGAATTTCATCTGCAGAATGGAAATATACCATCTGCCTGGTGAGATTCTGGTGTGACTAAATAAAATCATGTATGAAAAATGTCCAGTTAGAGACCTGGCACATAGTAGGTGTTTCCTCTATGGTGAATTATTACTTACACTTATGGAATTACCATGTGGCACACAGTGTTCTTCTTTTTTTTTTTTTTTTTTACCAGGGATTGAACTCAGGTCCTTGCGCTTGTGCAGCAGGCGGCGAAACCACTGAGCTAAATCCCTGGCCCCACAGTGTTCTCCTTATCCGAACAACAACCCCATCACATGGGTGCTATGCTACAGATGAGGAAACTGAGGCACAAAATTCTCTCTTCTGTTTGTCTTCATTCTTAAAATCACTAGAGCTAATCAGCTGAGTGGAAAACCTCGAAACACTGGGAAATCCAACAGGGATTTCTCTCCTTGGAGAAAGCCACCCCTTCCCCAAGCGGTTAGAAAGACTCCTTCATTCTGGGAGGCAGAGAGGAGTGTGAGCCAGTAGTGTGGGAGGCATTGCCTCCAGGGGTCGCTCCTTGGGATCAAGAAGCAGCCCCAATGAGTGTTAGTGTCTGTGTCACTGTAGGGTTGCCCCTCTCTTCTGTGCGTCTGTATACCCAGAGGTGACTGTGTGTATGTGTGCACACGTGGCCACGTGTGTATGTCTGTGACGGGGAGGGGATCTCTGTGAGCATATGGGATTGTCTGTGTCCTCGTGTGTCCACCTTCCCTTGCTGGCAGTAGGGGATGACTCTGCAGGGGTACTGAGCCACCGTGACCTGTCTGAAAGGCAAGCCTGAGAGTCACTGAGACCTACATAAGGTGGATTTAGACAGGTGTGACAGGCTAGCAAGTGGTGCCAGTAGAGCTCACCTGTAGATAAGGGATGACCTTGCAGAGGGTATGGCCGAAGAGCCAGGACTCAGTGATGTCCACTAGCAGGCTGGCAGGCAGGCAGATGGCTGTTACCAGCATGTCAGCCAGGGACAGGTTGACAATGAAGTAGTTGGTGACTGTTCTCATGTGGTGGTTCCGCCACACTGCCAGGCAGACTGTGGCATGGGGGGGGGGTAAAGCCAGCTGCAAAGCCATGCCCACCCCAGTTCCCACCCATCCAGGGAGTCCCCTGCTCCCTACGGGCCCAGGAACCCCTCCAGACCCTGGGGGAAGACCTCAGTACCACAGTGGAAGACACAGACCTACCCAGTGTGTTGCCCACCAGGGCTATAAGGAACACGGCCACATAGGCTGCGATGAGGACCCACTCATACTGCTTCGGGTACAGATAATCATGCCACAGATAGCGCAGAAACTCATCTTCGTAGTCTGGAGGCACAGGGGATGGCTCCTCACTGCCAGTGGGGACTCCCGTCTGGACCCCTGGGGTGGTCAAGGGCTCCATGAGGTCAGGAGCCACTGCAGCTAAGGGGCATCCTGGATTCTTTGGAGAGGGGAGCCTGGTCCAGTCCTCAGCTTGCACGCAGGACTTTGGAGTCCCAGCCTACTGCTCCTGGAAGAAGGAAGGAAGGAATCATTAGGGACCATGCCTGGCACTCTGTGTGTGCACTGCCTCCTAATTTTCAGCCTTGGACCTGGGTTACATTCAGATTCCACACAGGTCGCTCTTGTGTAATTTATCTTGTCTCCTTCAGCCTCAGTTTCCCCATCCAATGAAGTCCAACCGTACCTACCTCCCAGGAGCGTGGTGGGGAGCAACTAGCTCTAATCCATGCTGAGTGCTTCACCCAGAGCCTGGCACAGGAGACTGGCCTTACAGACATTGCCGGGTACCATTATTAGGGAACCGTGTTTTGCAGATGAGAGGTTGAGCCCCTTGCTTGAGGTCACAAAACAACTAAGCCAAGTCTGTCGGATTCCACCAATCACTAGATTCCGGAGAAGCCACTGTGATTGCAAACACTCTTTCCTAGAGTTCATAGGATTAATTGGGGGAGGGGAGTGTCGAGGCAGGCGTTAGAGACCCAGGCCCCACCCACCAGACCCTGCCCTGTGGGCGCGCACTCAAGCACGCCCACGCCAGGAAGGACGCAGGGAGACTGTACTGACCACCTCCCTGGCCACCCTCTGCGCTATCCCACCCTGCAGGGCGCTCGGCCCCCACCTCTAGGCCTTCCTGGAAGCCCTGGGACGCCATGCTCCCCAGTGGCCACCAGGGGTCGCTGAGCAGGCGCGCAGGCCGCTCTCTCCATTCATAAATCTCGCTCCCGGCGCCTTCCTCCTAAGACCCTTCCTTCCCCCGGGCTGGGCAGGGACGACCCCGGACTTGTGTAGAAGGGTTGATGGTCCCTGGAGACCTGTGGGGGTGAGGGAGAGGACTGCGCAACCAACCCGCCTCCGGCCGACCCTCAGCCCGAGCTCCCTGCACGGGTGGGGGGGGGCGCGGGGGGCGGGCAGCAAGAGCGCTCGAGGTTCCGCAGGAGCCTGCCTGGAGGTGAGCGCAGGCGGATGATGACCCAGCCTCCCAGCATCCAGGTTACCCACCCCCGAGACTCTGGGTTCCCCCCACTCCCCGCCGCAGGTCCTTGGAACCCCGCTCCCTAGCTGAGGGCCCCCCACGCCCTGCACCTGTTGGCTTCGGGACCGGGCGTTTTCAGCTGTTGGACCCTGGACCCTGTGTCCGGGACTTCGCCTTCCTCCGGGAAAGGCCGGAGCCCCGGGCTCGGGGCTGGGGAGGGGGCCGAGCGGCCCCATCCAGAGGCGGCGCTGCCTGAGTACCCGGCTGGGCGCGAGCCCCGGCTCCAGCGCGGGCGGTGGCTCGGCGCGGGCTCCTCCGAGGTGCGCGCTCTGGGGAGGCGAGCCCCAGCCGGTCTGGGCTCCGGGTCTCCCAGCTCATCCTCTCGCCCGTCACTTCACGCTTGCACCTCACCTCCATTCATGCGTCCACCCGTTCATTCATACGGTCCGCGTTCCTTCAACGTTTATGTCCCCGCCACCGCGCAGTCAGGGCACGCCTAATGTGTGCAGGCGATACCCGGGCAGCTTCCTTCGGGGACCACAGCCCAGAGGTGGACCCCAGCCCCACCTCTCCTCGCCGCTTCCCTTTGCTGATGAGGATGGTGGCACAGGTTGGTCACAGGGGTGAGAGGATGCTCGCACCTCCTCCAGCCATGCTCTGGGCGCTGCTGGAGCAGCGCGCTCCCAGCGATGCCAGAAAGCCCTGCTCTCTCATCTCTTGGCTCTCTCGGCCCGTAAGGCTTCTTTTTGTTCATACTTACCTTTTCCCTCCCAAGACAGGGATGCAAGATGAAGACAGAAGAGGGGAGCCAGAGGGGCCCGCTAATTCAATAATATCTATCAAGGTGTGTGTGAGGCGATGAACCTATAATAATACGGCTGCCATATAGGGTACGAGGTGCATGATCTCATTTGATCATCACACCGACCTGGTGAGGTAGCTGATACTGTTCCCATTATACAGATGAGGACACTTGACACACTTGGCTCAGTGATTTGCTCAAGGTCACACAGCAGAGTCAGAGCAGTGCTCAAGGCTGGAGTCCTTTCAGTTCTACCGGGTGGGTGAGCAGCCAGGCACCTCACTTGAGGTGTGAGTGGAGTTGGGTTGGAATTCAGTGGGCAGTGGGCCACGGCAGGGCAGATGGCTCTGCCAGGGCTTCCTAGAACGGGAACACCTACACGGAGACCTGAAGAATGAGAAGGTGGCCTTGCAGGGGACTGGTATGGAAGGGGAGCTCTTCAGGGTAGAAGAAGCAGTAGGTGCAAAGGTTCATGGGCTGGGCCTTCTGGGAATCACAGGTAGGTGAAGGGTGACCACCACCGAAGCTTTAGGCAGTCACTTTGGCCATTCCCTGCCTCCAGACTGAAGCTTCCTATCATATCAGACCCCACCCTGCTTTCTTACCCTCTGAAATTCATAATACCCCTTTCCTTCTGCCAAGTGACTACTAAGATGACCTACCCTCTTCCCCATAGCCAAAGCCCTTTTCAAAAGGGCTGGAGATGCTCTCTTGGGCACAGGATACCTGGGAGGGGGGCTGGGACAGCACCTGATGGGTCCAGTGACTGTCACTTCTGCAGAACAGGAGGGAGGGCTGAGGCTAAACCTAAAGCAGGATTTGACCTTGGGCGTCTGCACCTGGGTGATGGTCATAGATCCCTGTGACTCCAAAACTGTCCTGTCTGCTTTGCTACTTTTTTTTTTTTGGTACTGGGGATCGAACTCCGGACCTTGCACTTGCAAGGCAGGCAGCGAAACCACTGAGCTAAATCTCCAGCCCTATGCCTGCTTTGCTTTAGGTAGGGGAAGAGATGAGGACTGAAGCAAAGAGGGGCTGGCTAGTGTGTGTGTGTGTGTGTGTGTGTGTGTGTGTGTGTGTATACACATGTAGGAGTCATTGCATCACAGAAGGGCTGTGTGTGTCTAGACTGTGTGGGTTTGTGTCTCTGATGTCGGTAGAGGATGAGCTGGAGTTGATGAATGGAGGTCACCCTGGGTGGGGTATGTCTGTATGGGTCTTGATTTGTCCCTGTGTTTTGGTGCTTGTGTCTGTAAGGTGTGCAGGGATTGGCTGTCTGAACTGTGCTTTGACTAGCACTGGCCTCTGGTGTGCTTCCCTGTGAGTGTGGGAATGCCTTTGTGTCCATGACTCCGGTGTGTGGATGTGGAACTTGGCACATCTGCTCCCACCAGGATGACTCGGCCCTCGATGTTACCCCCAGCTCTCCATCCAGAGCTGCAATCATTTGCTATGTATGGACTGGGGGTTGGGAGGCATATCATGCAGGGACAATCAAAGGATAGTTGCAGCAAACAGGGTGCAGCTAGTGGAGTGGAAGGTACAGATCTGCGTGGCCATGGGCGGTGAGCACCAGCTGAGCCTGGCTCAGAACTATGCAATTCATGGTTTCCAGACAACGGGGTTGGAGTGAGCAAAAGGCTCCCGAGGTCCTCCAGTCATTGTACATGAGGGTGCATGTGTCTGGATGGGGGGTGAATCACAGCTGAGAGTCTTCCCACCCCAGCCAGATTATCCAATTTTGCAGAGATAGTCTCATCTTCCCTCATGAGGGATCCTGAGTTGCCAACTTTTCTCCCTTTCCTATGTACCCCAAAATAGCTGCTCCCTAGACAAGAGATCATAAGCCAACAAATCTTTTCCTCCTCCATCAGACCTGTGCCAACAGGCAGCTCCAGGCACCACATCCCACTGGTCCTGAGTTAGCCCCACTCGGTGACAGTTTGAGGGTGGGGAAGCCTGTTGTTCAGCCTAATGGACCAGAGGGAGACTCCTGAGTCTGTGTTTGGGGGAAATCCTGGGGGCCCCAGGGCCACTGGTGCTCTGGCAGACTCACAGGAGTTGCAGTTGCTGGGTCCTTGGGCACAGCAGCACTGACCTTGGAAGCTTCTGGCAAAATGCCGGTGCCCAGGAGAGACCAGGGACCTTGGGTCTTCCATCTCCAGGCTGGGCCTTCAGCCCTGGTGCCTGCTCTGCTCAGGAAGGGCTGCCCTAAAGCCTTGGCTTTGCTCGAGCTGTCTGTCAAGTGGTGCCCACATGACCTCTTTCCTGGAACCAGCCATGTTGATCTAATCCTGAGCCTCTGAGCCACAGGTCCCTGTTATATCCGTCTTCAAGTGTCAGCCTGGGCAGTGGCCCCAGGTGCTAGCCCCCGCCCCCCTCCCAATTCCAATGTGGCTTACAGTAACCTCTGTCTGGCAGGGACTAGAGCAATTGAAAAGTAATTGGGTTTTCTTCTTGCTAATGCTCCTGCAGTCCTGGGAGTGTGGGTGGGATGCTTTTTTAGGAGGGCAGAGATCAGAAAACAAGCAAGGGTAGAGGCAACAAGGACTGGGATGTGGGCTCAGAAAGTGGGTTCTGGGTCTGGGGAGGCCACTGAGGCAAGCTGTGGGACTTGGGTCCTTGGGTCCAACTGTCAAAGTGCACATGCCTTGATGAGGGACCCAGGGACAGTGTATCTTCTGTGTTCCAGGCTACACTCTCAGCCTATGTCACCCTTTCCTCAGGTCCAGGTGGCTCGAAGGGACCAACATCCACTGAGAGAGCAGGGGCCCAGGGCCCAGTCAGGCATCCTGGCTGACTTTGAAAGCTAGAGTGCATCTTCACGCCCCGGGTGAGACGGGGAGAAAGGCTGGAGAGAACAGCTTCCTGTCTGTTCACTCATCTATGTGCTCACTCAACACACACTGTGCTGATGGCTGGGCAGGCTGCACAGAGAGAGGGGCTCCTGTGGAGAGGGCCTGCTGCTTAGGCTGGGACACCTTCATATAGACAAGTGTTTGGTGATGGTATCCAATACCTGTAGAGGCCAGCCAGGAGGTAGAATGGGATTGGGACTGACGATGATAATGCATGTGAGCCCAAAGAGAAAACCAGCCAATCTCCAGAGTGTGTCATGTCTAGTGTCAAGGGTAGGGTAGGAGCACAGGCACTGGGGCCAGAAAAACTAGACAGCCAGCTCTGTGAATTACTACTATGTAATCTTAGAATGGTCACTTCCTTAACCTCTGTGATGCACTGAATCATGGCCCCCAAAGATGCCAAAATCCTAGAGTAGCTCAGTGGTAGAGTGTATCATGTGTAAGGGGGGAAGAAGCCACATTCCAATCCCCAGAATCTGAATATGTTACATGGCAAAAAGAACTTTACATATGTGACTAAATAAGGATCTTGCGGTGGGAAGATGATTATGGATTATCCAGGTGGGTCCAGTCTGATCACAGTCTTATAAAAGGGGGGCAGAACATCGGAAAGAGGAGGCATGATAAAGGAAGTGGAGCAATGCTGCTGCTAGAGCAGCCATGAGACGAGGAATGTCAAGGCTTAGAAGCAGGTGCTCCTAGAGCCTCCAGAAGGAATGAAGCCCTGCTTATTCCTGGATGTTTGGATGTCTGACTCCCAGTACTCTAAGGCCACTAAGTTTGT